GGAAGGTCCCAGAGAGTGATCAAGGGGCAAAGACTGTGCAATCCCCCTTCAAAGAGCTGGTGATACAGCCCAGCACAGGGACACGCAACTGTAAGGCACAAATTGACTCATCGTATCAGTGCAAAAATCCATGGGTGTCTTTAATTTAACAGAAAAGCTCTCAGGAACACACTGGAAACAGATAAAGTAAGTCTTAGGGAGACAGGGAGTCCCCATGAGGGTGGAGTCCTGCTCTGGTACTTACATAGAAGTAAGACTTAGTCAATATTTGTTGAACAAGTTCAACGTTCTCCCACTAAATCTGCACCAACTTGCACCTTGTCCAAACAAACAACAACAAAAAGAAGTCTGAAGTTTTGCTAAGATGGGCTGTGAGTCTTTAAGTTCCTGAGCTCAAGTCAGGAGCCAACAGTGTTTCACACTCACTGTGTGGCTCGGGAGGTGCTCCAGGGTGTGCAGAGAAGTGGGTGGCCTTTGGAGTCAGAGCCAGGGCAGGAGGCTCTCGGTTCTGTGTCCTGGGCTGCAGCTCCAAGGCCTCACGTGGCCCAGGCTCTAAGATGGCTGAGTCAACTTCTGTCCTCCCCCAGAGACTGTGGATACAGAGGGGAAAAAGGTTTCTAGGAAAGGCTGCAGACCACTGGGAACCTTTTCCCAAAGGGGCAGCCCACTGACAGGATGCTGATGAACAAGGAGCATAAAACACAGTGCAATGCACACAAATCAAATACCTTACATTCTCCATACATAGCTTAGATATACGCGTGTGCATGCATGTGTGTGCTTCTGTGTGTGTCTCAATCCTTTGTTGTGAATAAATAAAGAGTTCAGGCTTGGAAGAAAATAAAGGGATAAATGAGTTTTCCTTTAAAATGTGGATTGGGTATATGGTGCTGTGGCCTAGCAGCTAACGTCCTTGCCTTGAATGCGCCAGGATCCCATATGAGCACTGGTTCTAATCCCGGCTGCCCCGCTTCCCATCCAGCTCCCTGCTTGTGGCCTGGGAAAGCAGTGGAGGATGGCCCAAAGCCTTGGGACCCTACATCTGCATGGGAGACCTGGAACAGGATCTGGGCTCCTGGCTTTGGATCGGTGCAGCATTGGCCATTGTGGTCACTTGGGGAGTGAATCATCGGACGGAAGATATTTCTGTCTCTCCTCCTCTCTGTATATATCTGACTTTGCAATAAAAGTAAATAAATATTTTTTAAAATGCAGATTGGGATACATGAACAGCAAGCATGAATTTTACCTTGAAAAATTCTGTATGATTGTTAAGTTGCAGAGAATGGGGTAATTAGCATAACAATAGAGATGTTTTGCCACCACAACACAAGGAGTCAGATAGATAAATGTATCAGAATAGTTTAAAGGAAGAGCTAACATTGTTACACACTGGGTGAAGTCACTGCCTGAGACGCAGGAATTCATATTAGCACATTTTGACTTTGTCTCTCCTTTTCTCTATAGAGCTATCTTCCAATAAAAATGAATAAATCCTGTTTTATAAAGGCACTATTTTCAGTCCTGACTGCTGTTCCACTTCCCATCCAGCTCCCTGCTAGTGAGCCTAGGAGAACAGCAGAGAATAGCCTAAGACCTTGGGGCCCTGAACTTGCATGAGAGACCTGGATGGAGTTCCTGGTTCCTGGCTTGGTTCAGCCCCAGCTATTACAGTGAACTGGGATGTGAACCAGAAGATGGAAGATCTGTCTCTCTCTCTATCCCTCACTTCTCATTCTCTCTGTAAATCTGTCTTTCAAATAAGCAAATAAATATGTTTGAAAAATAGTGTTTAAGGGGCATGACTGCACAGTATTGCCACTGTTGAATAGATGATGGCCAGCTTTGCACACTCTGACCACAGGGACAGGGTGTGAACGCCAAAGCCACATGGAAAGAACCTGGTCTGGATGCTGTGTGTCACTCAGTATCGCATCCACCAGCAGTTGGTGAGATGCCAGCAGGCACTGTTCTTCATCTGGAATTTACTTGTCACCCAATGGCAACCACAAGCCAATCCATGAACACTGATACAAGCAATCACGTCTGAGTAGGGACAGGATCTGAAATCAGCACCAAGTCTCTGGGTTATTCCCTCCCTGCTTCCCAGAATCGACACGTGTTTTTCTCCATCATCAGCCTGACTCAAATGTAGACTCTAGCCCTACCACAACTCCACCCAGTTGGAATCTCTGGGCCTGGGCATCCGCATTTTGCCAAGACTTCAGTGGATTCTTATCCATAATAAATTGCTAGTCACTTGGCTATTCCAGGAGAGATCTACTCTAGTGGAAGGATGCGCCTTCTGTGATGCAATGAGCCTTAGAATGAGTCAGGAAGCCAAGGTTTTGTGTGTGGATTCACTTGTCTATACAAGGTTGTAAGAGGGACACAGTCAACACGTGGCACAGATCCAGACTCCACAATATATTACTTAACCTTTAAAATAATTCTGTGTGAATTACAGATGGAAAGAATTAAGTCTCATAGTAGCTTTCCTAGAGTCACAAGGCCAGAAAACAGCCCAGCTAGCTTGTGAAATTAGCCTTTTTTCTGATCTCAGTCTCCTCATTCCACTGCAGTAAGCTCATCTGCACATGAACACACACAACACACGGCACACAGTCACATGGTAAAAGGCAACAGATTCAAATGTCTTCTAGAAACTCTTTTATTGCCAGAAATGTAGTTTTTAAGGGACTAATTCTACAGAGAGGCTCTCTTTGGTTCCCCTGCTGACAAAGAAGACTGCGAGGCTACTAGGAAAACCACACTGCACAGCCTGAACCTGAGTAACTGGAAGTGTTTGGGGACTTGCTTGGGTCCTATTTAACAGTGACTTGATTTGTGTAAGCTCAAATGGAGCCACCAGACATTTCTTTGACAAGCCCTACTCTCTTACGAAGGTGGTGCTCCTGGCAATTGCACGGGCCTTTCCTGAGTCACCCTCCAGTGCAGGAGCCTGAGTGGCCAGGCCTGCCGGCGGGGAGCCCCTCCTCCCTGGGGGTCCGAACCTCTCCTCTGGCCTTCCTTACTCTCCAGCCACAACTGTGTCTCCTTAGGTCCTTCCCGGTTTTCTCCAAACAATCTGTCCTCAATCTTTCGCCCTCTGCACAGTCCCTTTTCCTTTGTTTCATATTCATTCTAGTGACTCCCAAACTCGACCTTTTGGGCCGAGCACAAAACTCCCAACCGTGTGGGTATGTTGAGGCTTCAATTCCTCACACTGGCACTTTGGCATGGCAGTGCCTTAAGGCGTCCAAGGACAGTCCCTCGCCACCCAGGCACCAGTGCTTAGCTCTACTGTACCTCCTCAAAAAGACCTCTGATTTCGCCAGCTCTCCCTTCTGCATCCGGTCCCTTGCCACTTCAGCATTCCTTCTCCGGAATGGACCATCAGCTCCTTCAGGCCCTCCTACCTATCCTTCCTGTCTGTCTCTCCTCCCCATCGCCCCAGAGCTGTTCACAGGGCCCAGAGCCCTGATCGCCCAAACCGCTAACGCCACTGGCCGGGGAACGCCTTTGCATTTCCTGGCTATCATTCAAGACCAGTAGGATTCCACACCGGATGTCCTCCAGCTCCATTCCCAGAGACACCTACACAGACCAGTTCTAACGCACTTGCACGTAACACTTGTCCCTCAATACCCTCCGTGCTTTTTCCACCTCTCACTGTCCCTCCTATCTCCCGATGTTCCCGCTCCATTGCTTTGACTCAGACTCCCTGTCTTCAAGGACTGGCTTAAATGCTTTTCCGCAAGAATCTGGACACTCCGCCCCCTCCAGAGGCAAAAAAGAACCTTCTTCTTCCTCCACAAATGGTGAGATTCTGCGTCTTCCACACAGTTACCCCATCTCCCTGACTTCTGCCAACCCTCCACAGGTTCTCAGAGAGATCACTTATCTCGGGGAGTTCTTGACTCACCCACACAGTGTCAGCCTGGCAGGAGACATTTGATGTATATTAGTTGTATATGACAGCAGCGTTCCTCCTCAAGCATTCGTGTTTCCTCTGGCAGCTAGCCTTGCCATCTGATTCCTGTGGCTTTCATGCAATTCTCAGAGCTATTGCTGTCCTCTAAATTAAACAAAAGTCTGTCTTCAAGTGCACTGATTTAAAAGGCCCCTGTTAGCAGGCAGCAGTAATGGCAAAATTAAAACTGAGAAATTCCTTGTGAAATATTTCAGGACCTGTAAAAATGGCTTTTGCACACCTCCACTTTGAGTGCCCTGCATATCTCCAACATCCTTCAGCCGCTATTCTAGCGCAGAGCAACCAGACACAATTCCATTGCAATGATAAACAAGGAACACACACTTTGGCCTTGAACACCTGAAGGCCTTGCTGGCAGCTCAGGATTCATCTGGGGAGTGAAAAACGGATGAATTATCTCCCTATTGTTTCTAAAGAGGAAACACCAGGCACCGCACACACAGAGCTGGTGAGGCAGAGCCCTCTACACAGAGGCCCCTCTCTCCACTCACACGGCAACTGTCAGGGAATAAAGAAAACACTGCCCATCGGCCTGGGTGCACTCCCTGGCCCGCACATACAGCCAAGTGCTGGCAAAAAGGCGGTTGTTGCTGTCACTATCTGGTGCCTCCAAGGTGGGGCTTGGCAGGTCTGGGCTTTGGGGCTGTCAGCACTTGCCCCTCTTGGCAGCAGGGGCTCCTTGCCCAGCCCGGTGCCCGCACGCACACGCAGGTCACCTTCTTGGGCCTCCCACAGGTGGGCAGGACGTTGCCTCCAGGCTCTCCAACTAGAGGAACCAGCGAGGGATTGCTGGTAGCAAGGAGAACGAGAATGTAGTTTCAGGGGCCTCCTTCAGTGGGTCATGGCAGGGCCATGGTCACATGGTAATCCCCAAAACTGGCCTGTCACTGTCAGGAATCCCTCCGCGCAAAACTGGTCCCTTCCACCCCAACCCATGAAAACTGGCAAACAATAAACCAACTCATTTGCTATTTCATAGAACGAAGGAGAGCTGTGACTTTATTACCTCAGTTAGCGTGGTTCAGCCTGAACAGAGTGTTTCCTGGGCTTTGGGAAGAAATCACGCTGAAAGCCTTGCTTCTGTGTCCCCCATCTCCTCCACCTGCAGACCTGGAAGCAGACAAAGCCAAGTGCAGTGTCCATGACTGGCTGTCCGGATTCAATGTGTCAGCAGCAGTGGTCACTGCGACGCCACATTGCGATAGCACACCCTGGACACCTGCTCTAAGTCCAGCAGCACACCAAGGCGAGGGCGGCCGTGGGCTTGGGAGGTTGCACCCTCACAGCCTCAGACACGTGGCCTGCAACTGAGATATCTCCTTACCCCTAAGCAGTCTGGGAGACAACTCGGCCCAATGGATTCTAAAGCCTGGGCAAGTTAGTGTCAATGTTCTTAAAACAAACAAACAAACAAACAAAAAAACCCCAGAAACAAAAAAACAAACCAAAACAAAAACACGCGTTTGAGTGACCCACCATTTTAAAACTCTACATTGTATAAAACAAGAGCCAAACCTCATACAACAATGCTAACCTTACTCTGTGCTATAAATGCTGTGTTCTCTCTCCCGCTCTCTTACATACACACACGCACACACACACGCACGCACACACACACACACACGCACCTTTGCGAAGTCAGGGAGTCAGGCACGGTTATCTTCCATTCCCTGTTCGCTACCCACACAGCTAAAAGGCGCCTGCCTGGGGCCTTGAGCCTGGAACTGCATCCAGACTGCCTACGTGGGTGGCAGAGGCCTAAGGAGTTGGGGGCCATTTTCTGATGCCGTCCCAGTCGTGTGAGCAAGGAGCTGGGATCTGGTGCTGCGGGCAGCACCTAACCGGCTGTGCTGCAAGGCCAGTCCTGCTGTGTATCTTTAAAAACAATATTTTCCCCAGGTTGTGACACAGCAGGTAATTAAGCCACAACTTGGGAGTGCCTGTTCGAATCCTGACTGCGTCTGATCCAGCGCTGGGCTAATGTGCGCGGGAGGCTGCACGGGTCGGCCCAGGCACATGGGCCTCTAAACCCATGTGGGAGACCTGGATGAAGCTCTAGGCTCCAGGTTCCAGCAAGGCCCAGCTCTGACTGGTACGGCCATTTGGAGAGTGAACCAGCGGATGGAAGATTCCTCCTCCACCCACCCCTCATCTACTCCGTTTGCGTTTCAAACAAACAAAATTTTCCCCAGCTGCATCCCATGAAGCCAGTCTTTTCATGGGTCCTCAACTGCAAAAGCCCTGCATTTTGGGATAACCGCACTCCAAGTTTCTCAGCCACCACGATCGGGAAAAACTAACCAAGCAGTGGAGTTTCTCCATTGGAAGAACAGTCTTTAACCTCTAAATTACGTTACAGGGCAGAACGCGTGTCCTCTATAATGGATCCTGAGCAGGGATAGTCACTTAGGGACAAAGTCCAGAATGGAGTCACGCACTTACCTACAGACGAGTTCCAAAGTGGAACCGCGGAGAGACTAAAACCTCAGGTGAGACAGACTGCAAAGAAGTGGCTCCCAGCGGACGGCTGGGCTGCACCAAAGCCGCCTACCCAAACCGTGCAGAAGAGCAGGAGGCTGAGGTTGCAAAGCCCCGAGGGCGGTTCGGGGGGCAGGGCCCCTGCCTGTGCACGTCCCGTTCAATCCCAGTTCCTAGGTGCCGCACCAAGGAAATCGCCAGGCTCCAGTGGGGTCCGGGTCGGGGTCGGACTCTGCATCCGGGGGGAGGGGCCGTGCGGCTGTCAGCTTGGCCAGGCGCCCACCGCGTCCCGGCCCGGACGCGCATTCCTCGCCCGCGGCCCCCGCCCTCCAGCACAGCCACGCAGGGGGCGGGAGGGGCGCGGGGAGAGCCAGGGGCTGGGCGCGAGCAGCCCGGGGCCCGCGGGGCGCCACCCGCAGGCACCTGCGACGCTGCCCGGGCCGCCCGCGGAGCTGACAGCCCCCACCCCGCCGCCGGAGCGCGGCCCCAGCCCCGCGTCCAGGCTCTGCGCCGGGCGCCGCAGCCTTCCCGGCTGGCCGCGCTCAGGCCCCGCAGGCCGCGCGTCGCCCACCCGGCCCCGCACGAGACCTTGCGAAGGGCACTTACTGGGCTCGGCTCGTCCGGCGCCAGCGCGTTCCCCCCGGGGGGCCATGGCGCTTCCGGGCCCGTGAGTCCGGCCGCGGCGCCGCGCAGCACCGCCCAGAAAATGGACGCCGGCGGCTCGGCTCTGCCGGGGCCGGCCCGCCCCCGGCGCGGGGCAGGGGACGCGTCCCGTCCGGGAAGAGGTGGGCTCGAGCCCCCAGGCCCGCGGGCTGCGGGGCAGGGGGAGCCGGCGCCGTCTCGGACGCGGCCCGGGAGGGCGACCCACGGAGGCCCCTGGAGCCCCAGGCCCGAGGCCGAGCGCAGAGGGCGCCCCCACCCTCCGACGCTGGGACCCTAACAGTCTCCCACCCCCACCTCCCTCCAGGCTACAGCTTAGCCTCCTCCCGCGAGGTCCCGAACCTGCCCGGACTGCCCAGCCAGGGCCCTATGGCCACCCACCCCCACACCGGAGAGCCCGGCACACGCAGTCCTGTGCAGGAACAGGGTGTCGCCCGTTTTCTCACAGCTGTTCCCCACAGGAGACCAACTTGCTAAAACGTTTTTAATGCCAAGGACTTGGTCCCTTTCCTTAAATGCAGGCACTTAGTACCCGCTAGGATCTTTCTCCCACGTTCCAGCCGGGGACTATTCACTGAAAAAATGCGGCCACCAACTCTCCCTATGGATCTGACAGTCCAGTGCAGTAATGTTCAGGTGTGTCTTTGCCTTTTTTAAAGTCCCTGTGTTTTTTGCTGTGTTTGATACGACTGTCTTTTAAAATTTCTTTTAGGAGCAAGTCACTGTCAGGTTACAACATCAAAGGACTGAAAAGTCTGTGCCTTTCCTGACTTAGCAGCTAGTTTTTAGCATGGAACACAGGGCTTGCAATTTCATACCCTGGTTCCTCAGCCGGGTTATGAGAATGTGATTTTTGATGAATGGAGTCGATTTCAGTGTTACATATGAATGTATGTACTATGTAAACGTTTACGTAGCAAAGGAAATAAATACTGACTCCTAGTCAATTGAACGAATCACGCAATTGCAAAATGGAGTCCGGGTTTTGAAAGCTGGCAGGCTGGGCAATCTCCTCTCCACAGGCCACGTGGTCAGCAAGGCCTCCACTAAGCTGCCTTTAGTAAGCAGCAATTCATCAAACCACCAGAAAACAATGACAACAACCCCCCTTCCAACCAGTGCTTCCACAAAACCTGAGCCAACCTGTTGGTAATCATGGGTTCCAACCCACAGGTGCTCGTGGTTCCGCTAGGTGCTCACACGCTTCTGTTGGATTCTTCAGAGGCCTCTGAGGAAACCAAGCCATATGGATTTGGAATGAGGGTTGGGAAGTGCCAGCGTGTGGTTTTGTTCTCCAGATTTCCCTGTGACTGGGCAGATCAGAAGTGGCCTTCAGTTTCAGGCCTGCCTTCATTCCCTGCCCAGGCCTCGGCTTCCTCCCCTATGAAATGGGACGTGTTTCCATGTCAGTGCCTGCCTCCTAGAAACTACTGGACAATTAGCTGCCCCGCGGGAGGCCCCTGTACCTAGTCCATGCTCTGGAACTGCAGGCTGTGGTGGCTGCAACTTCTGGAATTTCAGTATTCAGAATTCTAAATCCCTACCATCCAAACAGTGAGAATCACAGTTCCTGGGTGTACCATAACCTTCACATGTTAGAAATTTAAGCACAGGTCTTCCTCCTGTTCCACCATCCTGTACTGCTAACATGTTCCAGGTACCTTGCTCACACACTGTCAACAGCTTGTTCCGGGCCATGGAAAGCGGCTCTGGCTTCGCTAAGAGGCTTAGTGAGTGAATGGCTCCTTACATCCACTTGGGAATTCACAAACAGTGGCATTTCTTTCTTATTATGTTTCTCCAGAAGCAAGCAGATTTCCCCAAATTGTTATTAATAACTAAAAGATCACACCAACAGTTTGAAACACTACAGCCTAACCCTTACATAATCAGCCAGTCCTTCAAAATTTTCCATTCTTCCTCATACCCCCTTGCAGATTTGTTCTCTTAATCATTATTCTGCGTATGGGGAACCATCTGGAAATTTCCAGGAACATCCAGCCTTGTCACAGTTCTTTTCTATAAAGGTTTCTTCTTTTCCCTACAACTAAAGGTGATATGTTTTCTCTTTCTTCCTAACACTGCATTTCAACCTGTGTGCCCAGCTAAAAATCCTGAGACTTTGGAGACTCTCCCTTAAGTTACCGCTGGTCCCTCTCCTCTCCGAAAGGGTCCCTCATCTGGTCCAGGAGCCCGTTCTGGCTTTCTGTGTGTCTCAACCCATTTGGTTTACTACTAGAGGTTTCTACACCTTGCCTAAGGCTTTCAGACTGGGGCTCCTGACCCTGCTAGCATTTACTGCCCCCTTTCCTGGGCTCATTACACCACACAAAAACCATCGGGTAGTGTCTCTAAACCCACGGGCTTCCCAGCCCAGGTTAGGAATCTCCAACTCCTCACTCCCCCGGCTGCCGAATCTCATTCTACTTGGTTAATTTATGACTTTTCCTTCAAGTCCTCTTGCTGAGAACTCTCCAGGCTCCAACTCTCGCCTGCTGCTTATCTCTTTTCTTTGAAGCCCTTTAAGCCTTGCACTCATCTGCATCACCTCAGGGTGGGCTTGGGAGCCTGGCAGATGAGGGGCGAAGGATTCTGCTCCTCAGAGCAAGGGGGTACGGCGTGTGTGTGTGTGTGTGTGTGTGTGTGTGTGTGTGTGTGTGTAAGTCCATGTTGCTGGCACCTAAACGAGGTGGGAGGTGGGAAAGGAGTGGGCCCTCCCTAGCCCCACATCCAATGGTTGCCAGCTGGGATTACCAGACCTGCAGAAATCTACAATGAAGCCCAAATCTGGATTTATTATTATTATTATTATTATTATTATTATTATTATTGGTAAAATCGTTGAAACACTGACCACTCTGAAAGGAAAAGAAGGAAGCTTGGTCTGAACAAGCCGCTGGCTTAACTACCAATTTACAGGATTTCTCTCAGATAGGAATGTGAAACAACACTCAGGGTCGTAATCATTGGAT